CAGTGTGCGATGAATAAATTCTCTGCTCAGTGGGTGCCAATTTTTGATTTTGCTATCAACAACATTTTGGATCATTTCTGACACTTTATTTGTTAAACTTAGAACCTGGAACCTGTGGAAGATTCCCTCGCCTCATTATTTTCACGTTCCCTCAAATCACGTGTCTTTGCCACATGGCTATGATTCCTTCCAGAACCCCATCAGCTGCTCCACTGGTTGCGCCACTGAGGTCGAAAATGAAATCTCGTGTGCCCTCTGGGCCACCGTAAGTCAGGCTACTCGTATGCGCACAGCCTGCTAAAAGTTGAAAGGGCAATATTAATGCCATTACAGTTGATATATAGTAGACATTTACACATTCAGTGATCAAATGTCACGGAGTGGTATGGGGGGATGGTCATTTAAGAAGGGGGATGATTTTTTAGATTTTTTTAAAGAAGGGGAATGTCATCCGCCTTCATTCTCCCTCAACTCAACTACTGCTTCCAACCTTCTCAGAGCACAAGCGCACTGCTCTAACCAGTAGGCCAACACCCCCTCCAATGATGAACAGTTCTTACTGTTTTAACATTCCTCTTTTGTGGCCTTATTAAAAACTACATTTTAAAACCTAAAAGTACAAATAAAAGTCTCTCTTACTTAATCCTATCTCAGCATTATTTTTTCTATCTTTCACTAGAGACATCATTAGAGGTTTCTTTTTCACATTGCTTTGCGTCACATTGCTCCTCTTGCTGTCCTGCACATCGGGATAACATGAAAATCGTCCTATCAAAATGTAAATGTGATGAGTTAGAAAGGCAGAAAGTCCTGTTTACATCCACAGTGTATCTAAGTTTGTTTTTGAACAGTAGAGAGTATAGACATAAAAATAAGAAAGATCTATGATAACCTGGTTGCTTGATTTTTTTTTAAACATTTTGAACTCAAAATATTTTAGAATGAGTGTTGTCTATTTTGATGTTTTATGTCCCTGCTAATTTGAACAAAATGTCTGTGGTACAATAACAAAGGCATATTCGGGGGGTTGTTGTCCTTTAAAAAATTCAATGATGTGCAGAACTCCTACACAGCCTTTAAGTAATTTGGCCTAAACTTTAATTAATTTCAATAATTTTGGGTCATTTCCTCATTTTTGTTAGAGGTTGTTATGGTACTTTGGTGGTAACGTAACATTTATTGAAAGATCCTTGTAATACATCTCTTCTCCAAAGTTGATCAGAAGCAGCAGCGCCTCTTTGTTTAATGCCTTCCCTCTGTCAGCTGTCTGGTTATAGGTGTCTGTGGTCCTTAGCAGAGATAATAGAAGACAAACTGTCCTTTTGAGTCTCTTCCACTGGACAGTGAGCCACGCATTTTCTTCCTCACAGCATCAATTCTTGTTGCTAGGAGACTGCTTGGTGGGTTTTTTTTCTCTTGACCCAGCTCGGTTTGTTTTGTTTTTTTTGTCTCTTTTTGAAATC